TGGCACACTTGCCTTAATTGCTCAGTCCTTTGAGTATAGGAGTTGGGAAGTCGTGTTGAGGTTGTACAGGACATTGGTGAGGCCTCTTCTGGAATACTGTATCCAGTTCTAGGCACCCAGTTATAGGAAGGAGATCAAACTGGAGAGGTCAGACGTTGCTGGGTATGGAAGGTTTGAGTTACAAGGAAAGGTTGGATAGGCTGGCACTTTTTTCACTGCAGTATGAGTGGTGGGGATGAGTGGGAGGGCTGGACATGGATTTCCCGCACTTCTGCCCTCAAACCCCCTCCCTACAACAAGGATAGAGTCCTCCTGGTCCTGGCATACTACCCCACCAACTTCTGAATCCAACACATCATCCTCCGCCACTTTCGCCACCTGCAATCAGACCCCACCACGAAAGAGATATTCCCCTCCCCACCCGTCTGCTTTCAGTATGGACTACTCTCTCCGCGATTCCCTTGTCTGCTCCACATTCCCCACCAGCCCCACCATACCCAGCACTTTTCCCTGCAACCACAGGAAGTGCAACACCTTCCCCTTCACCTCCATCCAAGGCCCCAAACAAACATTTCGTATCTGACAGGGATTCACCTGTATGTCTTCTAACCTGGTCTACGGCATCCGTTGCTCCTGATGTGGTCTCCTCAGCATCGGAGAGAGCAAGCACAGACTCAAGGACAGGTTCATGGAGCAACTGCGGTCTGTACACTCCAATCAAAACCACCTTCTGGTTGCCAGCCATTTCAACTCCCCTTCCCACTTCCCTGGTGACATGTCCATCCTCAAAATGTCACAATGAGGCCACATGAAAATTGGAGGAACATCTTATATTCCGCCTCAGGAGCTTACAGCCCAATGGCCTCAACATAGAATTCACCAGTTTCAAAATCTCCCCAACCCCGGCCTCATCCCATGTCCAACCCTCACACTCATCCCCGCCTCCTTGACATGACACAACCTGTCCATTTTCCTTCTCATCTATCCACCCCACCCTTCCCACTGACCAATCTCTACAACACCTTTCCTGCATCCACCTATCACCACCCAACCTCCCTTCACCCAGCCCCACCCCCCTTCCCTCCATTGATTTCTAAACTCCCTTCCCCGTCCCCAGTCCTGATAAAGTGTCCCGACCTGAAACGTCGATTTTCTGGTTCCTCTGATGCTGCCTGACCTTCTGTGTTCCTCCAGCTCCACACTGTATTGACTCTGACTTCCAGCACCTGCAGTTCTTGCTATCTCCTTGATGGTAGTTGTCTTTTACCTGAGATGAGGAATTTCAAGACTAGGGGGCACATTCTTAAGGTGAAAGGAGAGAAATTTAAAAACAAAAGGCAATTTTTTAAATATAGAGTGTGGTTTGCATGTGGAGTGAACTTCCTGAGGAACTGGTGGATGTGGGTACAATTACAACGTTCAAAAGACATTTGGATTGACATATGAACAGGAAAGATTTGGAATATGGGCCAGAAGCAGGCAGGTGGGACTAGTTTAGTTTGGGATTATGTTCGGCATGGACTGGTTGGACCGAAGGGTCTGTTTCCGTGCTGTGTGACTCTATGACTATGACGTCCCAGCTGCTATGCACAATGCTTTGCAGAATTTCATCAGGGTGCGCTTGCATTCTATTGTAGAATGATCACACAAATTGAAAAATATTTTAGAAAATCCTCAAATATTAAATGTAATCAAAGTATTTCTAACAATTATACACTATATTAACTTAAATCGGTGGCCATCATGATGGCTATGTTAATCTAATGATCAAATTAGAAAATTAGACTGGTATATCTAACAATGTATTCCGAACCCAAAGCTCTCAACTATCACATTGAACGTTTGAAACTTAAAGACTAGATGCGCAAAGTACCAGCATTATCTACAACTAACAGGAATCTAACAAGTATTCAAGTTATTGAGACAAACTACGAACATTTCTGTTAAACAAATTTAATAGTGCTTTTTGTTTTTTCAATTTGTATCAAAGGTTCCTTGCATCACCCAGATTCTCCTCTTACTATGAAAGTAAGAAAAAAGTCTAGTCATGAAGCAAATACCTTGAAGTGTTATTGGGCAAGCTTTAAAAATGCAAGATAACAAGAAGCACAAGTTAGAAACATGGAGGAAAAGTGCAAATTACAATCCAGGAAGTTACATAATTCCGCATTAAATGGTTTATTTCGTTAAAAAGCTGCTTGAAATAATTCACACAGAAGCAAGACACAGTAAAAGGAAGGTTGCAGCCATAGTATGTACAAAAAATATAGTTCGATTGGTTTTGGCTACTTATTGTAACGTGGATAGACTTTTTTCAGTCTTACCATCAAAGACAGACAGATTTAGCAAGGACAGCAAAATTAGGAGAAGGAGAGAGAAAGGAGTGAGATGAGGTTTTATAAGTAGTGCAAAGACACAATGACACTTTGCAAGCCACAGTGACTTCTTTGACAAGCTTGCGTTAGCACAGAAACACAAGTCAATGTTCACTGAAATAGATATCCATTTACAACATTTACAGCACAGGTTCATTTTTGACATTTGGAAAATTAGAGGTGATCAGATTTTTGCCAACACATGTAAATTTAACTGCTTCCTGATTTTTCCCCTGAAACAATGAGGGCTGCTGTTTTATTTTCCCACTAGATGCAAGGAAAGGTAGAATTTGCCACTTTAATCAGACAATACTAACAACAGATATAGTCTAAGTTTTCTTTATGTATTTAGGTTTAGTTGGACTGAAAGAGGAGGTCATTTTTAAAAATATAATTTTAGGAAAAAAGTAGGAATGGAAAATATTTCCCTGAGCTCTCAAAGGATTTACATATATTTTCAACAGTGACCCAAATAACTGATGAAGCATTTTAGTGACCTCAAATTTAAACAAAAAAAACTTGAAAGGTAATGACCTAATTTTAAAAATGATGGAATTTAGAGTGCAGAAGTGGAATATACAGTGGTATTTTAACAGTGGTATTGCTGCATGTGAAATGGAATTATGCTCATAACATTGCGTTTTTCCACATAAGTAGAATGCAAATGTTTCTCCTTCAGGAAATGCATTCTGGACAAAATTGCACAAAATTAATAAAATCATTCCGATTGTCTATGCTACATTTAACTTGCACACAATTCAATTCAGATCCAGTCTGGTTTGCCTACATCCACAAATTTTGAGAACATTATACTGGACATCCATAATTCACATTCCTGCTATGTTCCTTCTTTCTACTCATGCATAAACATGAAGCAGAAGCAATAGCATCTCTTCTTTGGTTAGATGTAATGTTCTGAGCTTGATTGCATCTCAACGGAGCAAGATCCCGGTCACAGAAAATGGCAGAGGAACTTGTTTGAGTAAATGTATTCCTTACCATTTGAAACTTGTTACATTTTCTTTAAACAAAGATAAACTTTTGCATTGAAATTAAGTGCAAGAAAGTTTTGTATATATAAAAATGTCCTTTTTACTTTATTAAATAATTCCATTACAGACAAATGACTACAGATTATTAAATAATATTGACATAACTGTACTTTCATAAGTGTTACTTTATTAACTGGAAAAGTTTGAAAAATTCAAATTCCATCTATATTATAGATTAATCTCTGTTAACCTAGTTATATACAGAAAATCCGCAGCAGATCTGGCAGCAACTATGGAATGAGAAACACATTTAACATTTCACAACAGTAAACTTTCATCACAATAGCTCTGATAGGTCACTAAACTGAAGTGTTAATTCTGTTTCTCTCAACTTAAGATGCTGCCAGACCTGTTGCCATTTTCAACAGTTCTTACTTCAGATTTCCCACATTTGGAGTACTTAGCTCTGGTCATATTTATTTTTAGATCTCTTCACCATTTCAGCAGTAAAATTTGAATATTAAGTAAGCTTACAAATGTCTCATTGTAATGATTGGGTTTCAAAAATAAGACAAAGAATCTTCTGAATATTACAATGCTAAAGTTACTTTTTTTGTTAAATCCGCTTCCTTGCTTTTACAATGAGCCAGTTCCAAAAATATTCCAAACATTAAAATTTTCAACTTGGGGAGTTTAATGGCAAATGTATTAAAGACAAATTGCTGAACAGAAAAATATATCATATCCAATTACTATTTCACGATCAGCAATTCTTAACAGAGGCAGAGTATAAAAATGGCCTAAAATATTGTTGAATTGTACATTATGGAACTGGAAGTTTTACATTAGGTTTAAAATTGAGATCAATCTCTGCTTTCCAGCACATGTTATGTAAATGACTACTTTTGGGCGTTTCCATCAAACCAGTCAGATTGTGACTATCATAAAAATAATTATTTCTAAAGTAAATTTGGTCTAAATTTCTGAGTTATCAAATTTTGATTTTTTTTTTTTAAAACCAGCTAACCTCGTAATGCAGCTGCTGGTTGTTAATGAAACAGTAAAATTCTCCTTTGCCAACTCCTAGAATGCATTAATTGAACAATTCCAGTCCATTAAGACGAAGAAATGCACGAGTAAAACTTACCCATTAAAATGGGAATTGTATCATTTGAAAACGATTGAATTGATTAATAATATTTAAGATAATATGACATACTTTATTCATTGAAAATTAAAATGGTGAAATTATGATTTAATTTTGATCATTGTATATGGTTAAAAATTTATAAAATAAATTTGGAAAGTATTGGGTAAAATGGTTACGCACAAAGTGTATATGTTTGTCCATCAACATAGTATGCTGTGATGGGCCAATTTAGTAGTATCAGTACAGCGAAGGAGGCAGCCATTGGGTCCATCAATTCCTGCTGATTCTCTGTACAGCAGTCCAATCACTCCATTCAATTATTTTTCCTGTCATTGATAGTCGCTTACATTTAGCAGCCAAGTTACTTCTGCATTATTTAAAAAGCTGATTTGGTTAACTCCTATGCCTAAATATTCCCCTGATGCACTAGGATATTTTGACATGCATGTACAGGTATTATGTGTCACAATTTGGAGGGCTTACCTTTTTTTCATTTCTAGCAGCTGATTATTGAGTGCAGATCGCTCCTCTTCGAGCTGAAGTAAAAGCAAAACTTTTTAGTTTCCAAGGTCTTTTAAAATAGGCATCTAACATTTACATTTGTTATTCAAATACTCAAGCTCCAATGAGCTATATTAAAACATACATCCCAAATCAGTAACAGAATATGAATGCCATTAACAGTATCCAATATTTACATGCTCATCATAATTACAAGTATTAATTCCTGAATATTTGACTGCTAACTTAATGAGATGAATGCTAAGCGTTGGAAGCAGCGCAGGAGAAGGCACACCGATATTGCTATTTATTTCTGCACAAATCCTTCCTGGCTTGCAAAGAAAATCATGCTCCAGAGTCAAGGTCAACTGATGCTTTCAAAAGGAAATTGGATCATTATCAGAGAAATAAAATTTTGCAGCGCTGTAAGGAAAAGACAAGCGACACGAGGTGAAGTGTTCCTGTGGGGGCCACTATACCCACCATGTGCAGAATGGCCTCCTACAAAGCTACAAACCATTCTATGATTTTAATGTAGATAGAATTAAAATGGGCAAATGTGAGGGACAACTCTCTTTAGCACCTTTAATACCTTGAAATGTTTCATGACGCTTTACAAATACATTTTCAAATGCAATTTGACAATAAGCTGACCATATGCTTGGTCAAGGAGTTAGACTTCAGGGAACACCTTAAATTAGTAGCCGAGCTAGAGAGATTTCAAGGGGGAATTTCAGCGATTAGGGGTAGGCAGCTGAAAGTGTGGCTGCCAATAGCACAATATTTATAAATCGGCATTGCACAAGAGGCTAGAATTAGAAGATTCCATATACCTTGGAGGGTTGTAGGTCTGGAGGACAGATTGAAAGAAAAAACGTCATGAAGGAATTTGATAGCAAGTCTAGATAATGAAAATTGAGACATTATTTAGCCAGAAGTTAATGCGGACAAGTGGAAATTGATGGGTTAACAAGCTCATGTGCAATAGAACAAATACAGCAGAGTTTTGGATGACCTCAAATACAGAAGATAGAAAATGGGAAGAAAGCCTGTAATGTGCTGTAATAATCAAGTTTAGCACTAACTGGAGGGCTTGGAAAAGGGTTTCAGCAAATTGTTAGGACCAGCAATGTACTGGATGGGAGTGTAAAAGAAGCAGATTCAAATGTAGGTGTCAAAGGGGATATGAATAAGCAACAGAAGAAAAAAAATTAAGGGGTTGCATGGGAATGAGACTAGCAGATTTGGTTTTGTGGAGAGCCAGCAAATATATGTTAAGTGCAACAGCCTCCTTCTGTGATATGAAATGATGCATTTGCTCAATAAACTATTTGCATTTCCACAAGAGACTTAATTTGCCCCTATCAGAGGATTAAAACTGTAGACACTAGACTAAAAACTGTGCAAAAAAAGGATTTGATTTTAGAACAAAAATTATGAAACTCAATAATACTAATTTTGTTAAAACTGCTTTCCATAGCAAAACAATTTAGTACACATGGTTAGAAATTTGAAAGGAAACATTTTTCAAAAATGCTTCAGTGCTTAAAATCAGGATTTCATTTTTTTTTTATTTCTTATTACTTTCACCCAGAGATAAAGAACTTAGCATGTGTGTTAAAATGTCAGCTCTCCTAAAGCATTTTACAGCCAAGTGAATATCTTTGATGTGCACTCATTATTGCAATGTAAGAAAATGTAGGAAGCCAACTTGCACACAGAAGTGCCACACAAATAACAGTGAAATAAATGACAACATTTAGTGATGTTAATTGAGGGATACACGCTAACCTGGAGTCCAGGTGAAGGGGCCTCAGGGGCAGCTTTTTCACAGAGGCTGGCATGTATACGGAACAAGCTGCCAGAGGAAGGGTACAATTACAACATTTAAAAGACATTTGGACAGGTACATGGATCGGAAAGGTTTAGAGGGATATGGGCCAAACACAGGCAAATGAGACTAGTTTAGTTTAAGAAACCTGGCTGGCATGGATGAGTTGGGCTGAAGGGCCTTTTTCCATGCTTATTGACTAACTTTCTTATTTTCTTCAAATAACAGATCTTTTACATTCATCTGGTAAAATTGAAAGGACCTCGATTTTACATTGCACCTCCAGTGTAGCACTTCAACACAAATTATGAGACATCCTTGATTACTTGCTCAAATTTTTAGAATGGGTTTTGGATACACAACATTCTGTTTGAGGTATGAAAGTGCTACCACTAAGCCAACACACATTTTTAATTTGTGCAGCTAATAATGTTGATAATCACCTGCTTTTCAACGATTTAAGTACATTAATGGTTGCAATGTATGACCTACAACATCCACTGCAATAACTCACCAAGGTTTCTTAGACAGGTCTTCTAAACCTATAACCTCTACCACCTAAAAGAACAAAAGTAGTAGATGCATGGGATCAACACTACTTGCAAGTTTCCCTCTGAGCCATGCAGCATTCTAACATGTAATTACACTGCGGTTCCTTCATTGCCACTGGATCAGAATTCTTCGCTACATCTACATCATATGGACTGCAATCGTTCACCGTTGATTCAAGTTCACCACCACCCTCTCCTTGGCAATTCGGGACAGGCAATAAATGCTAGCTGATCCAATGACATTCACGTTCAATGAATGACTAAATGAAAAGCAGCAAATCTAGCAATCATGTATTTGGTCCCTTTATCCAAGTTATTGATATAGATTGTAAGCAGTTGAGGCTTCAACATGAGATAGTAAGAACTGCTGATGTTGGAGTCAGAGATAACACAGTGTGGAGTTGGAGGAACATAACAAGCCAGGCAGCATCAGAGGAGCAGACAAGTTGACATTTCGGAAGGGTCCCAAACCCAAAACGTCAACTTTCCCGCTCCTCTGATGTTGCCTGGCCTGCTGTGTTCCTCCAGCTCCACACTGTTATCTCGAGGCCTCAGCATTGATTTTTGTAAAACATCCCTCATTATATCTTGCCAATCCAACATATTCTTTCTGGTGTCAGTACAATATCAGATTTATTGAATTAAAAGAATTTTCATGTTTCTAGGTTCAAAGTAATTGACTTAGACACTGCGTACTTTCCATTTAATATTCAGCCAAAATGTTTATCATGTCCTTACATAAGGACATTCTTGATATAATTAAAATCTACACTGCATTAAAATGTTTCTTTTCAGTGCTTTGAAAGTTCATTTTGGTGCTGTCCTACTTTACACAGATGTTTCTTGCATATCAACAGAGGCTTGTGACTCCTGGCCAAGATGTCCATGAATTTTAAAATGAAAGAGGTATGTTTCCGAAATTACTACAACAAAAATAATTTGAAAATACTCCATTGCTTGTAAATGGCTTTGAGATATCCTGAGGTTACAAAATGCAAGTCTGCCGTTAATTAATATAATGAATGTGGTTTTACAAGGCATTTTGTTACAGGCTCACAGATGCCTTGGCTTCTGTTCAACTTAAATACAATTGACCTTCAAAGTTGATTTTTGCTTGACAGCAAGAATAAACATCAGTTTACTGAAATTTAACTACTGTAAAATGTGTAAATGATCATGTTTATAAAACAGGAAACCATTTAATAAATTAAGTTTCAATAAGTTATAATACAGTTTTAAAAATAGACTAGTATTTTACAAATGTGAATCCTGCTATAACTGTGAAGGGAATGTTATCCTTTTGGAAAGGTTGTGCACATGCAGAAGAAATCTTCAACCATAACTGGAAAGAACCAAATCAGTTAGACTGCGTAAGATGTCACGATGGGTCAAAATGCAAGCCTTTCAACTTCCCAGAATCTTGACACTTTTACCACACATGAAAAAGTCTTCTTTCCTCACTTGCTACTAGAGTTTTAAACTAGCTCTTGGATCGCCTCGATTCAATTCATTGCAAACTTAGCTTTACAGTACAACGTTACCCATAGTGAAAGACTAAGTGAAGCATCAACAGCCAGGCCACAAGATGTCAGAGATAAGATAAATGAAATTACAAAAGTTCATACTTATGAAATTGACGAAGTCAAATAACTATTATCTGGTACAAATATGGAAAATATACTGTCCAATTTTTTAATAAAGCAACTTTTTAAAAATTCACAAGACAGCCTGTCTTTACATCAGGACTGTTGATCCAGCATTTCTGAGGGTAGATAATGTAACATTTTGCCACTTAACAGATTCACTGCTGTTTGCTACCGACAATAGCCTGGCTAAATCCAAATATTTAAGTACAGTGCAATATTTCAGTACTTAAATACTGAAGCTCATGTATTTTTGGGATGTTCAGTATATTTTTTGGACAAGTTTTTACTAGTTAGAAAACACTTAGGTATTAGCTTAGCCTTATGCACGTTCAGGATTAAGTTAATTCTGTCTTCATCAGCATCTGATCTCAGTTATGAACTAATTTTATCTAAGGAAAATGTGAGTCATGAAGTATTTTTATAAAATATCTTGGAAACTTGTTAATATTATTTAATCTGAATTCTGATTACCACAAAAATTATAATGTAGTTTATTACTTAACATCCAAGATAATGCAATTAGGTGATGAGCTGAAACCCTTTTACATAAAACAAAAAATAGCTCTATAGTATGCAAACAAATAATTTAATTACATAAATATTACAAAATTAAGTCATACAAAAGAACAAAAATAAATTGCTTTTGGTGAATTTGGAAAATTTTAAGTTATTGTTGCTTGCAGGCTATTGCTTCCAAGTGCCTACACAAGCTAACCATACCTCCAAAAATCAATATAAACAGACACAGAATCTAGCAGACAAAATTTGGGTATTTAGGGAAAAAAAAAATTAAGAAAATCACAAGCAGATATAATTCATCCATGTAGTTATTACCACAAAGTTAGATTATAAACGCATGTCCACCATACACCAAGACAAAAAAACTGAATTATGCAAATAAAGGGTTTTGAATGCATGTTATTAGGGGTAACATGTAATGTAGGGATTGTGATTATAGACATTCCAATTCTAAAGCTTTAAAATGACCAAAAGAAACACTGTATTAAAGATTTTTACTATGATCATTCATCAATGTGGCTAACACAGCATTACACAATTGGCAAAAACATTCCTCATGATTACATATTAAATTAAAATGTGATTTGTAGAATAAAACTATAGGAAAAAAATACAGGATAAATAAAGTATTTAAAAATGATGCTAGATTATCCTGATTATGGAACTAACAAATATTGATGTTATACATTTTGAAATTCTAAAATTGTCAGCATGTTTTGGTGTGGAAAGATCCAAAACATCTTTTCACAGCACATACCTTCTGATGACTGGTGACTTCGTCCTTGCTTCTGTCCAGCTCGCTTGCAAGTTTGCCGTTTTCTTCATGCAGTGCTGCCAGCTGCTGGGATTTCTGGGCTGCTGCCAGCTTCAGCTCCTCTCTGTAAAGGCAAAGTGAGTGCACGGTTACTATAGTAACCACTGATGAGAGTCAAGTGAAGAAACAGTGGGAGAGAATCAGTATATCTCTAAAATGTTTCTAGGTCACACATGCTAATATGATGTGAAATCTGCAAAGCAACCTTTTAGGGCTACAAATATAAACCTTGCACTTCAAAAATAAAGCGTGAGCTTCTTAACTGTAAAAGTTCTGTCCAGGGAGCTATCACAAGATCTTAAACAATAACAGGAGGAGAAATATTTTTAGAATAATTTAGTAAGCATTGCCACTAACAGACAAATCCATCCATTTACACAGCTGCAAACCAAAGCCTAATTGTAATTAATTTCACTGTTGACAACAGTAAAATGCACATATCTATTATGCTTCACATCTACTTTAAAATTAATCTCTTTGAAAAGCAGTATTGCTTGAATAATTAGATTCAGAGTTGACAGATTCATACATTGAGATAACATGCTTTGACTCTTAAGTCTCACTTGGTAAATTCCTGAGCTGAGAGCACGCTGTTGGAAGAGGGTGGAGGAGTGAGGCAAATGTTTCTTGTAGAGGATGGAAGGAAGAGAGGGCAAAGAGAAACAGAGAGAATAAGTCGGCTCAGATCACCTACTAATCAGGTGAGAACAGCATTGGCAGGAAATCTGAATATACAATGGTTAAAGTACAAGTCAAAGACGACAGAGAAAAAAAAACACATCAGGGGGTATGTCACATTTCTGATGCCGAGGCACAGAGAAGATACATTATTAAAAGGAAAAGCTCTAAATTTGGAGTTAGAAATGAAAACAGGCAACAGGTCTGGCAGCATCAATAAAGAAAATCAAAACACATTATCTCATATGGTCTTTATCATGTTGGGAAAGAAAATCAACAAACCAAACACGAGGATATTAATGTAGTAGCCTGCAACCTGCTCGACAGAAACTGATGATACAATGGATCTATGAGATGAGTCAGAGATATGTTAACAAAAGAAGATGCAAATAGCCAGAGTAAAGAGACAAAATGGCTCCACGCAAATGAAAACCTGTGGAAAATAAGGAAAACAGATAGAAACACGCTGCACATGCAACATATTTGAAATCAAAGTAAAGCTTATACAAATCAACTCCATGGCCTAAGACTTTTACTTGCAATGCTCTTTGACCAAGTGTCTCCAATTCAAATAATGCTAAAGAAGGAAGGGATGATTTTGAACGTTTTTGCATGGAAAATGGATTGAAACAATACACAAGTGTTCCATGTGTTTTTAAAGCAAAGGTAGGTATATTCTTCACTAACAAGGAAGTCAAGAGTTACTGGAGCTGGGGATAGGAATGTAGACCAACAGTCACAATCACATTAGCCATTATCTTATTGAACTGAGTAGGCTACAGTGGCTAAATATCAAATGGTCTACTCCTGCTCATTATTGGATGTTTGTATGTAAAGGAAATAAAACAGGACTGGGAGAAACCAGGATAAATAAATCTAGCCCTCAGATGAGGAAGATGGAAAGAAGCCTAGTTTGAAGAGTTGTGGGAGTTAATAAAGTATCCATAAAGTATACATTACCAGAAACGGAAGGAGGAAATTCCAAAAAGGACGAAATTCCAAGAAGGACAAGGAAGAGACAGAATAGATTATGTAAAGTATTGAGGACAAGTGAAAAATCAGAAAAGTTAATTGTAAATTAAGTTTCACATATATTGCATTGAAACAAAATATCTTGTTGTATTTTTCTTAAAATATTGAATTATTAAAAAGGTACATAATTAACATCTTAGTTTTGAAAAAACTGAAATACATAACTGTTTAGTTATAAAACTGAAAGCCTTTTTGCATTTTTTGGTTTCTTCAATTTAATCATTTTCCCATTGAAAACTACAAGGTTTAGGATGCAATCATCTGGGTGATGGGATTTTATGAAAGTTTTGGGAGTTACAGATTTTTTGCAGGTTGCCATGGAGGTATCACAGACACTACGTACCTCAGGGGAACAGAAAAAACTAGCCAGCGGGTCAGTCTGCCTAGAATGCCAGCATGCACCCTGCACAAAGTAGATTACAGCATGAACACAAATTGTAGAGACTGCTAGAGGATTATGTGTGAAATCAGCATAGGAGAGGAAGGATCTCAAAAAAGGTATTAATTTGTTATGCCAAATTATCCCACAAAATTTAAATTTGCATATAATCAACTTACACTGATATGTCACAAATGAAGTTAAGAGCTCCAAAGTACTTCAGAGGTGCAAGAAAATAAATTCCATAAATAATATCCATAAAGATATTACAGGATATGACCAAAAGCTTAGTTACAGAAGATCTGGGGAGTTGGAAATTGGACAGCTTTCAAACTTGGTTGGTACAATGCCATAAAGCTGATGCAAATCTCAATTCACAAAATTCCAACAATGGAGCAGCCCATGGCAGGACTTGGATAACATTAAGGAGTACGCTGACGAGTAGAAATCCACATCCAGCCAATAAAAACTCCATCTTTCCTTGGCATTAAATAGTACCATGACAGTAGAATTGCCCATCAGCAATGTCTGGGTTTCTTTAATTAACCACAGCATCTCAACTGTATCACCACAAACTGCAATGCTTCAAAAGGAGACTGTATACTACCTTCTCAGGGCAACAAGAATGTGCAATGAATGCAGAATTCAAAAATCTTGAAAACAATTAGAAACAACTTATTTCCTTTGTAGTACCTGGCTTCTTGCTGTTTTATCTTTGGAGTCTTTGACATTGGTTTAAAAAAGGTTACAGCAATAGCATTACCTAATCTATATAAATAAAGGCATTTAAATGCTAGATGATTAGGGAACCACTGAACATCAATTATGAAACAGTTACCTATTCTCAGGGATCAATGGATAAGCGTGGATGAGATCTTCCAGTCTTATCATTTTGACCAACCAGTCAAAGCACTTAAAAGTAAATTACATAATCCTTGTAGTTTATATATCTACAAAGTTAAAATGCCAAATGATATGGTATCCATGATAAATGACAGCTCCTCACCGATCATTTCAGACATTCTCACAAATATATATATTACACAGAGACAACTATAACAGTTTCACTTATGATGTCAGTGTAGCATTCAATTTGATAGTTTGTCATTTTCAGATTGCAGACGGTTACACGTTATTATATTCAAATAAACTGATTCAAAATATTTTAGCAAGCATCTTGTGTGGGGCATTTATTCTATAGCTGCAGCATTCAAAACAGGACGTAAAACCTGAGGAAGGGTCACCGGACCCAAAAGTCTGATTTTTCTTCATAGATGCTGCCAGACCTGCTGAGCTTTTCCAGCAACTTCTGTTTTTATTCCTGATTTACAGCATCCGCAGTTCTTTTGATTTTTAGTAAAACCCTATTGGTGATCAGTAATATGAGTCAGTAAACACCTCCAATATAAAATGTGTAAAAAAGAACCATGTAAATTTTACTGCAGATAGAGAATAACAAAGAAAAACCATGTTGATGTACTCACTAGTTTTTAAATTTGAGACTCATTTTAGAGGCTTGTATTTCAAAATAAGAGAAAACAAAACGCCCATTGGACATCCCATTCACAAACCTTTCACAGAGGGTGTGTTGATCAATAAATTGTGGAAAAACAAACAATTAACTACTATGCCCTCACCAGGCCCCTAGAGTGGAAATTGGACAGAATACATTTTATCAAGGAACTTTGTATCAATTGATCTCACACAGTTTTTCTTTGGTTGAAATGGGAAAATACAACAAAATGGAAAAGTACAACACACTTGAGGTACAGCTCATACAAACCATTTTTTTCCTGGTGGTAATCTACATTAGAAAAGTCAACCTTACACCATGTAATTACAGCATTGGTAATCATTGAAAAAAAAATCAATCTCAACAGCTTGATTTGGTTAAAGTCACATCTGAAGAGCACATAAATGCACAATAACAGTAAAATTTATTAT